GCACCGTGGCCAAAGGAGGTAGAGTCAAATCCAACCCAGAGCTGCGCAAGAGGAAGTTTTATCCCCCCCTGCCAATCTACAACAGTATCAAAAATCCCTAGAAAAATACAGACCTGCCCTCTGTCAGAAGGAACAGCATGCTGCCAAGTTTTTCACTTTTAAATTTCCACTGGAGGCAGCTGCTTTCTGCAGCCTCCCGGCATCCCAGCGAGTAAAACACTCGGCACCGTCCCCGCCGCGGGAGCCAGCCCAGCGCTGCAGCTCTGGGTCCACGCTGGCAAATCTGCCCAGGTTAGACATCCGCGTGGTCTAAGTCGGGATCCGTCACGTCATCAGCTTCGCCGAGTGCCACCAAGCCACGCAAGAAATGGGGATTTTTAAAAAAAGAAAAAAACAAAAAAAATATTATACCCGAAGCGCAAGTCGTTGGCTGACTCATAGAAATACGAAACTCACTTAAGGGATGAATTAGAGCTATTAGAATACAGAGGTAATTACTCATGCGAACAATGCCCTTCTCAACTCTTTAATGATTACACAAATTAGTGCATAAAATTATGTTAATAGCCCTACAACTGTTGCACATACACACAGCCCTCGGCTGGGGGCGGGGGGGGGAATGAGCAGCCACCGGCTGAGCCGGGACCCCCTCGCCCCCCGGGACCGAGCGCCCGGCGTGGCTGCAGCCCAGCCCGGGGGAGGGCACGCTGGGCTCTGCAGCCCGACTCACGGGCGGGAGAGGGATTTTAGGGAGTATCTGTTACACAGGGAACTCCCTGGAATCTTGATTTTTTCCTTTAAATTCAGCTATCTGCAATAGCTTCAACTGCACTTCGAGATAAACCGCTCCCCACTGTGCAGGTGCAGCGAGGATTATTTTGCACTTGGCGTAGCAGACTCTTACCAAAGCCGGAGCTATTTTTAGCCAATCTAGAAATTACTATAAATTTGGTGTACAGCTAAAAACTATCTGCTGTTATTGGGAGTAAGAAATCTTGAGCCACGATGAACGCAAACGGATCAGCGAATGAGTCTGCTGTTCCAAAGCAGAAGTTTCTGTTCAAAAAAAAAAAAAAAAAAACCCAAAACAAACAACAAAAAGCCCCCAAACTGTGGTTTCGAGGCGAAACCACGAGCTTTCTAACCATTTCTGTTTCAGCGCTGATGTTGGGTTTATGAAGCACTCCGCTATCAGCGCGGCGTGCGATCAAGGAGCGATTCCCTCCCTCCCTCCCCGCTGCACATCCCAAACTGTTTGCACAATGAGGGCAGTATCGCGCTCCGCTGCCGCCGGGCAGCTGCGCCGGCCGAGGGCAGGACAGAGGGGCCACACAGCTCCGGGGCAGACAATTGCCCTCAGTGTACCAACAAAGCGGCACTATCGGAAGCGCGGGACCATCGGAGAAGGCGGATTCCCTGCGCACGGATGGCCGAGAGCCCCTCCAGCGCTGCAGGGAGGCAGCGGGGCGGCCGCCGAGGGCAGCCGCCTGCCCGCTTCCACCGGGGACGCGAGAACGGCCGAGGAACCCACCCCTGACAGAAAGCAAAGCCATTTAGGAAAGGGGGTCAAGTTTGGTTGGCCCCTCCGCTCCAACAAAGGCGTTCCTATCTTCTAATCGCTACCCCTTCCCATTTTCTTCGGAGCCGAGGGACTCTTGAAGACACCGAGTTTTGGGAAGAACACGTTCATAGAAAGACACTCAGCGCCTTGGTTTTGATCCGTTTAAATCCTAGAAAATAACATTCCCGCAACAAGTGCTGGCAGAACAGCGAACGCGGCCTGACCGCTGCTTCCAGCAGAACCTGTTTCCATTAATTTATGTAAGGCGTTAAAATAAACTGAAGCTCAGTTTTACCCAACAGCCAGAGCTGGGCGAGCGGACGCCTCGTGAGGTCCGTGCCTGGGAGCCAGCGCTCCCCGCGAGGGAAGTGCAGCCGGTGCCGACCCAGGGCCCCAGAGGGGGGAAGAGGTGGCACGGGGCTCCCCGGGCCGGAGCCACCGCTCCCAGCGCCCCGCTCACTCAAACCATCTCAGTAACAAAGTTAACGAACTCCTAGAGACGAGGCGTGATTAAAAACTGAGAGGGTGTCAGAAGGCACAGGCTACTCCACCTAACTTCTCCCAGCACTATCAGAACCGGTTGATAGCACGTTTCTGATATTAATTCCTCTATTTGTGAAGTCCGTTACGTCAGTCAGAGAACACGATACTCCCCCGAGGACGGTGAGCTGTGCTGGCTGCTGCGGATGAGAACCAGAAATTAAAAAACAAAGGCAGTGGGGGAAAGCCTGGGTCCACCCGGTGGGGTGGGCTTTCCTGCTCCATCAGCTGGCTGTTACAGCACGACAACAGAAAAGATTTTACAGGGGTATAAAAAAAAAAACCAGGTCCAGAGGCATGAAATGCAGCAGAGCTCTGCACCGTAAACAGTTTTATTACATCTCAAAGCACTTTACAAACAGCGGCGCCGAACAGCATCAGGAGGTGCCCGCCCGCCCGCAGACGCAGGAGGACGAAGCGAAGGAGCCGGGCGCAGCGCGCGATGCTGGGGCAGAGGTGGAGCAGCCGGAGCACGGAGCAGCCGGAGCACGGAGCAGCCGGCCGTCTGCCACCCGACCCCTCTCCCCTCAGCGTGGAAGGCCAAAACGAGAGGAAGAACTCCAGCGCTGCTCCATTCCCGTCCATTTTGCAAGCGGAACGAACCCGCAGCGTTTCCGCTCCCCGGGAGGGTCAGCAGCCGTCCTGCAGGGGTGCGATGCCACCGGGTCTGTAAGAACTCAACGTCTGGAGCTTTGCACGGAGGCGACGAGGTCCACAAATCCCAGTGCGGAGGAACGCCGGCGGCGTTACCACCTCCTCCTCGGCAGAGTTCGGTGCGCTCCCCCCCGGGGAGGGCCGGCCTTTCCACGGGGTGATGTTTACTACAGCTGCAAACCACTTTTGAGACAACCTTCGACGCGAACAACCATCGAGTATTCCCACTCGCGTAGTCCAGCTGCACGCAACAGACCCGAGCTGAAGCAGCGACCCTCTCCGCACACGTCCCTCCGCTCCGCAGGGCCAGGCCCACGCCCAACGAATCCTTCCTGCACCTCCAACACCGCAGCTGGTACAGCTACTCCCCTATCTTGAAGTCAGCTGAACCCCCCCCAATTAATGCTCCAGCATGTTAATTAGCTCCTTACGACCTGGCTTAGAAGCACTGGCTCTGCCTGGACTCCCTGGCTCTCTTACCTCAGAGGGGACCGTCACCCCCCTACCAGCATCCCAGCCGCCTCCCCCACAAAGTTCACTTCATTCCCAAGCCCTGCACAGCCCGGGAGCAACGCTCCCCAAACCCCACCTCCGTTTGGTCAAACCCAAAAACTCTCCAAGGTTTCCTTATGCAACAGAAACCGTTTTGCCTCCCTGAGCAAAACCGCTCCCGTTTTGCCTTTCCCAAGCACAGGTGACAGCACTGATCAGTGCCCACAACTTGGTGGGTTTTGGGCCAAACTTACCCTTTCCTCAGCAGCAGACCCCTCCGTGCTGTCAGGTCTGTGCTGCCCACTCCACTCCCTTGTTTCCCACACGCTAACGAACTTCTCTGGCCACCTTTGTGCTCCCCCAGCTCGCCCCGCTCACTCTTCTCCTCGCCCTCCCATCACCATCCTCCCATGGTCACTTGAGCCTGTCCTGTCTGCAACACGGCTGTTCCCCACCTCCAAATACAGCACTTTGCTATCAAGGTATCATCATTTTTAGGAAAAAAGTACATCTCCTATACACATCTTTGGCAATCCGGTATTTCCGCAGGGAAGCAACGTTCTGTAACTTCTCTCACCACACGCAGCACTCTGTGCCAGCGTGCCACGCTTCAAACCCAACCCCGCTAATCCTGCCCCAAACGCAAATCCCATCTTACAATAAAGCAATCCTCCAGCCCCGCTCCACACAGGAGCTGCATTCCTGGCCATACAGACACAACCCGTAGCCATCCATCTCCAAAAAGCAACGCGCACATGATTTACACCCGCGCCCTACTGAAACGTTCAGCTGGTGGCCGCCCCCTGCTCCACGCTCCCCAGGACATTTCTGCGAACTGGCGGTTACGTGCGGGAAGAAATGCCCTTCGCTCCGCGCCGACGCTTCAATTCACTGTAAATGAAACATAAACATCAGCAGAGCAATTCCACCAGACAACCAAAGGAATATCCACGCCTTTCCTACCGAGGGACGAGCCTCTCCCCTGGGGAGGGTCCCACGGCGCCCGCCAGGTCCCAAGCTGGACGGGGCGCAGGGCTGCGACCGCCCGACCCCACCACGGGGGGCTGAGGGACCTGCCAGGAGTAACCCGCTCCCCCCCACCTCACAGGCTGCGGGCAGCCCCGAGGCTTACACACCCGGTTTCTACCCGTATTTATTTCCAAGAGGAGTGCGGGGGGAGCGCCGAGCCCGATTAATCTCACGTTTTTCCCTTTGTGATCTCTTCCGAAGAGTATCGTTGGCAACAGCGTGAATACTAAAGCATCTGCTTTTAAGCGCCGAGAATTCTTTCTTTTCCCCTTTTCACCTACTCGTATAATAAATTCCACCCATTTCCCAGGGAACTGATCCTTTATTTAGGAGCAGCTCAAACATCAACGCTTCCTGCGGAACACTACATCTCTGTGGGACACAAAAGCCTTTTGTCTGAAAACTTGCGGTTTAACAGAGCTACAGCGGCAAGCAAGGACTGCGACTCTTGGCAACAAATGATGACAACCATGCAGTTTTTTTAAAAATTTTATTTGTCAAAGAAAAAAAGGCAATAGCCAATTGAAAACCTACTTAATCTTTAACTCCAATTTTTGTCTTTAAATTTAGAGAAATGACTTATTGATTTACTTTTTTTTTTTAAACAAACCCCCCTTTTTCCCCTTTAACGTTTACCATCTACTCGTGCTGAATCCTTCCAAGGAGATTGCTCCAGCGTACCTCTCCAGGTCCTCGCTTTGCTCCTTTTACCAAAAAAATGAAAAACTCCATCGTGCATCTTAAGGGCTCCAATCGTCAAAAATAGGAAAAAAAAAATCTTTGGAATAGCCAATTGAGTTGAATAAAAAAAAAATCCACACGAATGCGGTTTGGTTGGGGCAGGAATCCACTCCTATGTTCCTGGTAATTTGATCCCGCTCCATGAATCCTTGTAATTCAGCCTCCCTATCCTATCCACATTATGATTTGAATCCAATGATCCAGCTCCAAGGATTGGGATCCAGTGAGCCCTCTCCAATCCAAACCTTTATAACCAGCAAAACCAAAAAAGAGGAGGCAAAAAGTTAGATACTGTAATGAAAAAATAGGATTCTGGGGAATGATGAGTTATGTTTGCCATCAATTAATACAGATGTACATTAATAACTATCAATTCCCCAAAACAAACTTTTGAATGGTGATGCTCAGATAATTTTTAGAAATGTTAATTACTATTTGGAGGAAACATTGTCATATTTACAATATGTCAACGGAAAATGCCAACATACTCATTGCTCGTACGGTGGTGTGCTACAGGTTTTGTGGTTGCAAAAAATGTTTATGAAACTGGAAAAGCTTACTGCTACGGCTCTCCACCTACTGCATGTCTAAACTATAGCTAGCACTCCCAGCTGGAAGGTAACAAAATTAACTAACTGGAGTTCTCAAACATATCGGTGAGTCAACTGTGAATTAGTCTGAGGGGGCAGGGCTGAGACTTAAGAAATTATTCCCAACTAGGTTTTCTATTTCTGCTTTCATTCTGATACTTAAAAAAAAAATGAAATAGCAACGCTGTATCAGTCACACAGAGGACATGCAGATTTTAGCAGTATTGATATTATACTCTGATTTAAAGATACCCTTGATCTACTACAAGTGTACGAATACTACGTAACATTAACACTTGTAACCAAATGCTGCGTGACAAAGTAAACCAATACTCCCACCCCCGTCCCAGTTTACTCCTTTAAAAAACTAGAATGGAATAGAGATTTACAAAAGCAAGTATTTAGCCACAATTGCCCCCAAAAAAAGTTTTACAGGGAAGAGCAATTGTAGTCTGCAGTAACTAGAACATGCCTGAAGTGACACGTAGGTGCACGTACTCAATTAACCTGTCTCTCAGTATAAGGTCAATACTGCCAAGTTCATCTGTGACAATAGCACTTGGAGTCATACCATTGCCTCCATTATTGATCTGATCCTCCTCAATCCTCCTTTTGACAATCCTAAAATGATTGACATGTGCTCCACAATCCTTTAATCCAAAGCATTCTTAATCCATCTCTTCAGATATGTCTACAGAAAGACACACGAAAAGGCAAGATAAAATATAAGATCCCCCAGAAGAGACAAGTTAGCCACAAACATCCCAACATCCCCAGCTCGTATAAACCATAGCTGAACACTGAGACATTTACACAGCAATACCACAGTTTGAAGAGTGTTGGTATTTAACTAGAACTAAATCGAAACAATCCTGACTGACATCAATTAAAATACAATTTACCAAAGACATGAGGGGAATGTTGATGTTAAGGAGCAAATACTCACTAGGGATTTTACACAAGAATGCAATTCAACACTTCAGCCAATTTGAATAAAACAGGTTGAATTAAAAAAAAAAGAAAGACTGTACTAAGTAAAGGAAAACTGTGTACAACATGGGGTTCTACAAAAAGATCAGAGCTAGTGATCGTTTATGTACGAGATCGGGATCTGCTGTGGCGGGGAGAGTAGCGTGGAGATCCTCTGCTTCTTCTTGGGGAATAACTGCGGCTTCTGCTGTTGCTTCGACTACGGCTTCTGCTACGACTACGGCTGCGTGACCGAGATCTTCCATAGCTTGGACTTCTTGGGCCATCAACTTTAACACGGATGTAGGCAGTTTCTCCCTATTGAATAGACAGAACTTTCGATTGAAAAGTCTAGGCTTCAGGGCCATCTTTTTAGGCATGCTGACAGACTGAAGACAGCATTTACTACAGCGCGGAAATCGACATCAAAGCTTTAAAGTCTCTCTACCTCCTGACAAACTGACCACAGGCTCATTTAGCTGCTTTGTATATACACAACACACACCACACGTTCCTTACCTTCAAATCCTACTGTTAAGCCCCTTGTATCCAATTCTGGCCAAAGAAAGTAAGTATGACACCTACCTCATGAGATCTAAATTTAGTGTTATCCAGTTTTCGCACAGCGTAGGTCATATCTTCCTTCCGTACAAACTCCACGACACCAGTGCCATCTCGGAAAACATCAGCATAACATACATCACCTGCTTCACGCATGTGATCCTTTAAATCCTGCCAACTTCCACTTGGAGGCAGCCCTATATAAAAAAGCAAGGCGTTACTTTGAAAACGGATTGGGTTCTCACCTTGCATAGTTATGGCATCAGCTCACAGCAAACAAAAGAGACTATTCAGTAAGCAGACGGGCTGCCCGGAGGAGCTGTCACCATCCTACCGACAGCATTCCTCCTGGGCGACGCGAGGCGATGCTTTTTAAGGAACAACTGGGAGCCGCATCGCCCCTCGCCAGGAAGCTCGCCTGCAGGACCCCGGGGGAGCAGTGGGGCTGAGA